AAAGCCCTTATTAGTATTTTTATGGCAGCTATATATAAAATTATTCCTACATAACCAGAAATTCTAGGCAAGGAAATGACATTCCTATACTAGCTCTTTAAGATTTGGTAAAACTGATCACAGGTACCACCTACTGGCATACCTATTTTAGTAAATGTTATAAATTACTTTGGTGCACATAAATTTAGATTTTATAGCAATGAGAGCAATATAAAATTATAACAGTAATTATATTTGTTTAGATTAGCACAGGAAACTGTGACAATCTAAAAACTTTGTGATGTCCCCATTTCTAGTATTATCAGCATGTCTTCTTTAGCTTCGTAATCAGAATTGGACTCATTCCAAAAGAAGTGTAGTATATTGAGTAACTGAAGTATATACATTGCAGGGAGAAAGTAAGAATGCCTTGCTGACCATAATCTCAGCACAGGTTCAATGTAGAGCAGGCTGACTGCACATCTTAAACAAAATGGGAAGAGCCCTCTGCACTAATGAGTCAAGTTTTCAAATACTCACTGCACTAACCTCTTCCCCAATTATTCTCTTTCTGCAACTCCAAGAGGGTTCACAGCTGTTTAAATTGCAAAGGGAAGGGAAGGAATACTTGGTATAAAACTATCATAGTGACCCCTGATACTTAATTCCCCAATAGTCGAGGTTGTGAAAAATATTTATGCATAGATAGGGAAGAGTGTGGAAAGAGGAAGAGCTCTCATTCTACTCTATATTAAAGTGGCCTTTTTATTGGTCGGCAAACAAGTCAGGCACATTAACTCTTCAGGATCTTTTTCTCTCTTTCTCTGGCTAGAAGTGTTCTTTGCTCAAATACATGCATGGTTTAGGCACACCTGGCTGCCTCAGTCAGTAAAGCATGTGATTCTTGATCACAGGGTTGTAAGTTCGAGCCTCACATTGGATGTACAGATTACTTAAAAATAAAATCTTATAAAAAAAGATACATGCATGGTTTACCCCATCATCTTCAAATCTTCACTCAAATGTCACCTTCTCAGTCAATCATACACTGAATATCCCCATTTAAAACTGTGACCTTTCTCTCAAAACTCCCAATCCTCTTTATGCTGCTCCGTAATTCTCCCATCACTTTTGAACATACTCTAGTATTTCCTTATATACAATATCATGGTCTAGTTTCTGTTAGAACTAAAAATCCATGACAGCAGAGATTTATTTATTCTATCCCAGTATCTAAAAGAGGTCTGGAGAATATGCGGTGAAGCTAAAAGGTCCAAGGTTCTAATCATGGCTTGGTCTGTTCTAGTGTCCAGCCCCGATTCAGAAGCCCACCCAGAGTGGCCTCAGTACAAAAGACAGTGCTATCACCCAGGAAATTCCTAGGGACTTAGAAGCCCTGTGTTAGACATCAGGATCAAAGACCAAACTATAGAACCAAAGATGCACCCAATGCTCTTGTCACTTAGGGAATTACAAGAGTTTTAGCGCCTGGAACTGGAGGTAGAGACAAATATATATTTATTTTCTATTTTACACCTTTAAAATCAAATACTGGCCTTACATAATTAGATAATAGAGAGTAGGGTAAATTTTTTAACTTACTCCTTTAACATGTTCAAAGGTGACATTTTTCATCTGGACAGGATCTACTGCAGAATCAAGCCCCGTTGTTGTCCGGAAGCGGACTAAAGAAGAAAAAAAAGAAATGTTTATATATTTCATAGATTCATAAAATTCCAACCACCTTATTATTCAGAGGTAAGAAAGTAGAGAAAAAAATAATATATTTAAGTATTACATACATAAATTCATAGTGAAGTAACAGAAACTACATCTTCTGGATTTCTAGACCATGTTCAAGGAATAAATGAC